ATTTGCAAAATGCAAAACAATGACACTGTGAACATACCCAGTGTGCAGATGTTGGTTTCAAATACCATTCGCTAATAAAAGGAACCAGGGCTTCATGAAGAAATGGCTGATTCTAGGACTGAGGCAGGAAATATACAAAATAAGTCTGCAGAATCTTGTAGTGCCAGAAGGTAAAGAAGTGCTACAAACAAATAAACATGATAATGGGAATATATGAAAGGGACAGGACCCAATAGGAGAAAATACTCTTATAGACCAAAACTGAAATAGTTTGAGCAAAAAGATACATAAAATAATATTAGATTATAACCCAAAGTGTAAAATAAATATCCATAGGACCATACTGATATAAATGGTGGTAAGATAAATAAATGGGAGAGAAGAGACAAATCTGAACAGAAGAATTCCAAATAATTTATGTAGCTACTGTGTCCTCACAGAGATGGAGCACACTCCCCACTCCTTAAGTGTGGGCTATGCGTAGTGACTTCCCTCCAGAGGACAGTACAGAAAGGGAGGGGCAAAGAGTAACTTTACAGTGGAGAAACCTGACAAACATGTTCTCGGCCCGGCGATCTAGGGCACCACCAGTGGTGATCAGCTATGAACATAGTAAGCATGTTAGTGGACATCATGTGTTGATGTGATAAGAATGGCACTTTCTCTCTGTGGTCTCCCCCACAAAAACCTGCACCCCCAGTCTAATCATGAGAAAAACATCAGACAACCCCAACTGGTCAGTCTACAAACTAAATGATGAATACTCGAAACTATCTAAGTCACCAAAAACAAGAAAAGTTTGAGAAACTGTCATAGCCAAGGGCAGCCTAAGGAGACAAGATGATTAAATGTAACGTGGTATCCTGGATGAGATCTTGGAACAGAAAAAGAACAAGAGGTGAAAACTAAGGAACCTGAGTAAAGAATGGACTTTAGTTAATAATGTATCAGTTATAGTTCATTTATTATAATAAACTTACCATACTAATGGTAAGACATTGATAATAGGAAAACTGACTGTGGCTATATGGAAACTCTCTATTCTGTCTTCACAATCTTCCTAGAAATCAAAAGCTGTTCTAAAAAAATAAAGGTTTTTTTTTTTTAAGGATTTTAATTTATTTGTTTTTAGAGAGGGAGAAGGGAGGGAGAAAGAAAGGGAAAGAATCATCAATGTGTGGTTGCCTCTTGCAGGCCCATTACTTAGGGACCTGGCCTGCAACCCAGGCATGTGCCCTGACTGGGAATTGAACCAGTGACGCTTTGGTTTGCAGGCCAGCACTCACTGAGCCACAGCGGCCAGAGCAGGTTGTTTTTTTTTTTAACTGCCATTCTTTTCCCTAAGAATTTGCTTTGGAAAAATAGTTATTTTTTGATAGCTATTTTTATTGTTATTGATATTAACATATAATGGGTTTATTATTTTTAATGCATTCAATTTTAATTTCTAGTATGTTAGATACTGATAGCTATAACTCACAAAAAGCTCTTCAGACTCATCAATAATTTTTCAATGTATAAAAGAATCCTGAAGTCAAAAGTTTAAAAATCACTGACATAAGTAAGTTTCACATATGGAAAATGCATGTATGTGGAATCTCATTCTTCAAATATATAGGATAAATGAGAGTACAGTGTAAAGGCAGTCTTCAATTTATACATATATTGTGCTGCTCAATTTTGTGAAATTAATTGCCTCATATTTTTTCAGCAATATTACCTTCCAAGATCATCACAAAGTATGCCGTCACCTGTGCTATGGTAGCAAACTGTCAAAGCACGTGCTCGATGTACCACACATATTATTATAATTTTATTAGTTGGAGGGTGGAGGGTTAGTTGGATGGGATGCAAGGGTTGAATGCCTACTAAAATCCAGGTTGTATAGATACTTTACATATATTATCTCTTATGCATGACTGTCAAGGAGTAACTGTCATCCCCATGACTAGGGCCAACATCACCCAACCAGCACTGTAAGTGAAAGAGAAGAGTTATAAACCCAAGTCCAACTACAAAACCTCACTTTGCTGAATTGGAAACAGGGCCCCAGTAAGATCCAGCCTAAATGGATGAAAACAGAATACTCAGGAGAGAAGAGTATGTAGTTACAAGGGTGAGCAAGGCTAGGAATAAGGATTAAGAGATTGAAGGGGTAAGGAGATAAAGCTGAAAAGCAGGCTCAAGGTCAAGGATGGAGGTCCGTGAGAGTGAAAAGACGGGTGTGTAAAACAACAGCTACTGGAGTAAAAATTAGAGCAAGGGTTGTGGAAGAGGTGGCAGGAGGGACTTCTCTTACTCAAATCCTCCCTTAATGCCAATGACAAGCCTTCACCATGGCTAACAGACCCCAGTTTGGAAGGTGAGGAGAATACAGGATGAGTTCTGTCTTCTCCTCCCATTGCCTCTTCCTACTGGTTCCTCCCCAACACTGCCTTCCATGAGCCTGGTGCAGAACAATAATCAGGGATCAGAGCTTTGGGGAGAAGGCAAGGGTGACAGAGTACCTTCTGTCACCATTCCTGGCAGCAGGCTTCCCTGACATACAGTGAAAATCTTGATCTGTCCAACCCTGTCAGAGAGGTGGTCTGTCAGGGTGGCAGCCCACCAGCAGAGAGTGCTATCTGAAAGATGGGCATGCGCAGGACAGCCACTTACATGACTGACTGAAAACACTACCTTTAAACTTAAAAGTAATTTATGACAAATTTCACTGCTTTATCCTGTTTAGAATTTTATACTCATACTGTAACTGGCCTAGAAATTTCCCTTTCCTGGGTATTACATTTTCCTAAAATTTAAAATGAATAGCCAGCTAGCCAATTATCTAGGGGGATAAAAGAACATCTGTAGCCAGTTAAAGCTCTAAAGATCACACAAACTTCACAAAGGTATAAAAGACCAACCAGAAATGGCTTGTTTTAGCTACTTACAAATCTGGAAGTGTATCTATTTTAACATCTGCTTAAGAAGTCTAATTGTATTTTTCCTCTATTTTTCAGAAAATGTTGCCTGCCACCCTCAGTTATGCTCCCCACGTACAACCTTTTCATCATTTTGAAAAAAAGCTTTCATTGCCTTTTCACCATGACAGATCAAGAAACATATTTCTGAACAAACAAAACCACTTTATCAAGAAAAAAGCCATGCCAAAGCTTTGTAGACACTATTATTGATAGCACCTTTCCAATAGAGAAAAAAATAGATTCCATTCATTTTTGTACCTAGTTTATTTTCAAAGTAGTATAGTCTTTCACTTCAGAATCACTTATCAAATCAACAGCATTCAGCAAGAAACTGATACTTTTCCTGCTGAGTTGCTTTATACATTCCACTCAAAATAAAGACCACAATGTATGTTACTAAATGTATTTAGATTTTTGTACCATCTGTGGGTTCCGCTCACAACTGAACCCCAAAACTGTGGGTTTTCTTCTCCCTATCTTTCCTTAAAACCTTGCTGCAGTAGACTAAAACAGAATGACTAAACAGAAGGTCTTACATTTTTAGAGGAAGACTGTTGCATGGATTTTAAATTATAATGGATTAATGAAGGTATAGTGAAAAGTCAATTGCACCAAAAAAATAATATGTTCAGAATAATATATTCAGAATCGTGTTTAGCATGATTCAGCCGAATCATTTTAAACTTAAGTTGGAAATACAGCATTTGTAAACTTGTTATCAAGTACACAAAGTAACAGACTACCAAGCCTAATTTTTAAAAAGAGATTCACCCCTCAAACATCCTTCAAAGTTAGTAAAAGAAACCAAACACTTTGTTAATTCCATTTATATGAAAACAAAAGTATCACTTCCAGCAGGATTGCCTCAATAACAATTTTTTTTAATTTTTAAAATGTTTGTTGCTTTTTGGTGAGGGGGAGAGAGAAACATCAATGTGAGAGAGAAACATCAATCCGCTGGCTGCCTCCGGACCCACCCCTGCCTTTTGGTTCCGGGATGATGCTCCAACCAACTGAGCCACACGGTCAGGGTAATAACAAACTTTCTTCAGAGTACAAATTTGGAAAATGAATTGGTTATAATTACAGTGAATCAATTGGAACAAAAGTCTTTTAAGTGTACCAAATGTCATTAAATCTTAGGTGCCAGTGATTATAAGATGCAACGTATTCCATGTAACAGTAGGAAAGGAAAAAAAGCTGTCATTCCGGCTATAGCACAATGCTCACTGATGGCATCCTGTCTTCAAGATTAAAATGGGAGCAAAACTGTTTTAGAATCAAGGAAATACCAGAATCTTAAACATATCATTCAAATATGTTAGAAGATCAGAAGGAAAATTATCTACAGACAAAAATATAATCCTGAATACTAAGAAAGTTATCTATGCCCAGTATATTACAATAAAGTTAGTGCTCAACACAATACCCGATATGTCTGAACTGCCAGGAAGATAAATCAACTACCCATCTATCTATTATGTAGAAAGTCACCCCTCCTCCCAAGTTGGTCTGGAGATGAAAAGCCACTATTCAGTGATGAGAATGCTGAAAACAACTGTAAAGAACAATAGTTCACTCAGAAACAGCTGGTCTTTTAGCATGAGAAGTTCACTGCACACTTAGACAAAAGGTGCTGTGTAGTGCTACATTCCATCCCACCTGCTGCACCAACAAAAGCTGGCTCTACTAGACAACATCCACATTTGAGAAATGTTAAGTACAGTAAAATAGAAGTCATAAGCTTAAAACTGGCAGAGGGGAAAAGTATTTGTTTATAATAAATGTACCTTTTTCTAAAAAGTTGAAAACTAACATGGAATCAATACCTTGGGATTTTCTTTTCCCTTCCAAGAAACTGAGGCAGATTCAAGACCCTCTGTCAGCATTACAGTAAGCACTGTCATATCTGACTGTATACGAGATTGTACTCAGTCTCTCCCATGCTGAAGAACTCCATATAATTCATGCTAAGTACTTTAAATACTAAAACATTTACATGCACTTTTGTATCCAGTGACTTTTAAAAATTACCTCAACTTCTCATGAGGGTCTTGGAAGAAAGCCTCCTTTGAGATTGCTGACCCTAAATTTAGAAAAACACTCAATTATAAGATGCCTTTCTTCCAAATCTCAGAATTTTGCTAGAGACACCTCAATGAACCAGAAAACAGCTTGCCAGTATCTTCAGCTAATTACACTGTTTTTACACAACTTTTAGGAGAAGAAAATTGCATATTGAAAAACAAGTTGATTTCAGGACTCCTTAAAAAGTTCTGGTTCATTTATTCAGCAAAATTAAGGGCCCAGAACAAGTTTCCAGTCAATCAGTCTTACCTGGCAGGTCATCAAGCTGGCTGCAGTGGCCAGGCCAGTCTTCCCAAGTTTGCTGATTGGGAATCTCCAGAGGCAGTTAAAGCAATAATGGGAGGTCTCTGCTCCCTTTAGAGGCTTTTCTCTAAAACTTTTTCTCTCCCCATCTGACCTCTTCCCCGCCCTCCCACAACCTCTACTCTTTTAGCTTAGGGCCAACCACCCTCAACAAGGACATCCTAAGACTTTAGCACATGAAAAGCAAGTTCTTTAGAAAATAGACACCCAACCCACATTTTTTATATTATCTAAGGCACAAGAGCCCATACAAAAATAACAAGCCATCATCATGAGGAAAGCACTTCAACATCTAAAAATCTCAATGTATGTTATATACTACAATTGAAAAGTACAGATTGGAGCAAAAGTAGGTTTACAGTTGTTCCTATGGAAAATAATACAAGTAACAAATAATACAGAAAAAAACTCAGTTTACTTTTGCTCCACCCTATATATTAACGAATTTTGGGAAAAAATTTTGTTCAATTCTTGAATGTGAAGAGTTTCTTACTTTTTTTCATTCAAATTAACCAGAATCCGAGTATATCGGTAAGTAAGACTTTACTTTGGCTTTAATTTTAAAATTTCCTCCAAATGACGTTAGAATACAAATTAGAATTTGTATTCTTTTCAGAAATTAGTTTCTACGGTACCTTCCACTATTCCAGAATGCAGACTCACTTAAAAACAAATGACCCATTTTGGAAGGAAAAAAAAACCTCCTAAACTTCAACTCCCCCTTAATTCACAGTCTTACGTATTCATGTATAAATCTACACGAGGAGAAGGTGGAGGGGCTATACTTCCACGAAGCCCCTTGGTGGGCACTCAATAAATGCCCATAACCACTTCAGTCCTCTGATAACTAGTTGGGCCGTTCCAAAACACTGGCTCCACCCCTCCAGAGTCAGCAGCCAGTTCCCGATTCCAGACCGCCTTGGCCTTGCTATGATGAAAGGAAACCTTGTCGCTTAAGGAGACCTAAGACGAGGGAAAGGGAGCCACACGACCCCATTCCGCAGGGCAGCAGATCCTCTAGGCTGATGGTGCGGAGACCTATCCCACCGCATCCTCGTAACCTACCTCTTCTGCCCCCAGATCGAAGGGGGCAAGAGCCCCCGCCCAACCCGACAGACACACAGCCGGGCAGGCGGGCGTCAGGACACGGGGGACGCCTGCGCAGAAGAACCCGCCTCCCATCCTCCTGGCCCCTCCACTCAGTAGGGTAACAATACCCTTTCAGAAAGACAGGCAGGGTAACTGAGGGGCACCAGTACGAGTCTGCACGCTCCCCAGATGTCCTGTCGCGACACTGCTTGCGCCGCTAGCCCAGCACCCCCAGTGTTCAACAGTCTCCACCAGAGCGAGCCCACGAGCACACACCAGACACCACCACTCAGGCTGACAGGGTCTCCTCACCTGAGCCGGGCTCCGCCCCCCTTCCCGCAGGAGACCGCAATGGCCCTTCTCCGATCAGACTCCACTGTGTCTGAGGAGGCGGGAACGTCCAGGCAGGGTCTCGGTAGTGGGATTTCCTCCCCCTTCCGCCCAGCCTCCCCGCCCACCCCGCCGCTGGTCCCCCGGCTCCCTTGGCCCGTTCGCCGCGGTCTTCTGAGCGGACCGCGGCGGCCGACAGTAAACGGAAGTGACGCAGAGCAATAGAGGGCAGAACAGTGACCAATTAGCAGGGGAGGCATCGGGGGCGGGGAAGCAGAGCAGCCAGCCAGCGAGGAATCCGGAAGAATTTACCAGGCCTCGGAACGGTGGCCAATCCACGGTCCCGGGAGTCTCTGTGTTTACTACCTACCGATTCCGCGAGCGCCGCGACCAATCTCCGTGTTTCTTACAACACGTAAAGCTGCTATCAAACTCCTTTAAGGAGGAATCCACCACCTAAGCGGCTCTAGGTTTGGGCTATGAAAAAGCTTACGTGTGTCAAGCCAGTCAAGACCCTTTGAGATTGAGGCAAGAGGGTTTATCTGCCTAGTTCCGTGGATCACTCTCCCGACTGCTGAGAGGCGGGCCTTCAGGGTAGTTCCAATGGTCACCGGACCTGAAGGATTTTCCCACTCTGCTGGTGCTGGTCCTTTGGTGACCCCCACCTCCCTGATGAAGGAGAGTGCTCTTTGAGGAACCCGCACACGCACCGCCTTAGAAGTTGAATTCTCACGTGGTAGACTTTGGAAATAATAAAATTCAAAAAAAGCTCTTTAGGATAAATTAGCCAAAATCCAGGTGAACAAGGTTGATCCAACGCTGACGGCAGTTGGATCCAACAGTGCCCCAAGTCCAGTCCCAGGAGTAGCTTCAAGAGCGGCTTCTTGCAGCTGTGACGTCAGAATGACAAGCGGGTCGGGCTTCGGACTCGAACATTGCTCCACATTTCGAGCCACAGGTCTTAGAAGACCTTAGAAGACCAGTCTCCAAAACAAAAGTCTCCAAAACCAACTCCCCCCCCCAAAAAAAAAAAATCGGACACGTGCAATAGTTGCAGACTTGTGTCAGAAAAGAACAATCGCTGGTGGCTCTCGGGATCCCTGATGCACTTTGGGATGGAGAGCCCGAACCCTGAAGGGAGACTGGCTGGCGTGGCCTCCGAGGGCACTGGACACTAGGGCAGGGAGAAGACCTCCTTCCTCCGGTGAAGGGGAGAGAGGAAAGATCCAAAGGGGCCTTGCCGGGAAGGGAGGCAGGGTGAGGGAGCAGTTTGGGAGCTCGGTTTGGCTCCAGAGACAAAGCAGGCTGGGGAACGCCTCTAGTTTCTTTTGGGGAAGAGGGATGGAGAGGGTAGACTTTTTAAATTTTTATTTTAATTGACCCCGCTGCCTCAGAACTTAACATGCAAATATTATTACAGCTATTGCATCTCTTAAGATGTTACAGGCTGGAAATATTGCTATTGGGGTTTCTTTCTTTAAAGGCTCAATGAAATCTGATGGTAAATTCTATTCTTTAAGATTCCCTGACATTTTAGAGCCCTTAGAAGTATTTTATTGCCAGATTGGGCAGTGAAATAAAAAGATAAAGAATGCTGAGAATAAGCCAGGTGGTATGAGAGATCCTTACAAAATGTTGTGAGCTAGACATCTCAAATTTACAACCTAGCAAAAGTTTAGAAGATGTGCATATTCAGTACTTAGTAGTACTATAGGCCCCCTCCTATATAGTCCACAGTGTCTGAAGATTACTTAGTAGTATCTATCGAAATTTTAAATGTGCATTCATTTTCTTAACTGGCAATTCCTATCTAGAAATCTGTGTATTCTGAAATACACATATTAACCTGGATTAAATACACACATTTTGGGAAATGTATACGAGGCTGTTGATCACAGCTTTGTTAGAAGAAAAAAAAGCTGAATATGCATCTATAGAGGATTACAAATAAAGATACATATATTCTATGGCTCCTTCATCACTAATGACCAAATAGGATTTGTTCCTGGAATGCAAGGATAGTTCAATATATAAAAACTGATCAATGTAATACACCACAAAAAAAGAATGAAGAGGGGAAATGATCATCTCAATTTACGCAGGCAGCATTTGACAAAATTCAACATCCTTAAAAAAAAAAAAGGAATAGAAGGAAACTACCTCAACATAATAACCATATATGAAAATCCACAGTAAATAAATCATACTCAATAGTGAAAGACTTGAAGACAACATTAAAATCAAGAACAAGAGAAGGATGCCTACTTTCAACATAATATTAGAATTTTTAGCTAGAGCAATTAGACAAGAAAAAGAATAAAAGGCATTCAAATTGGAAAGAAACGAGTAATATTATCTCTGTTTGCACATGATATAATCTTATATTTAGAAGACCCTAGTTCTGACTGGTGAGGCTCAGTGGATTGGGTGTCATCCCACCATCTAAAAAGTCACAGGTTCAATTCCCAGTCAGGGCACATGCCTGGGCTGAAGGCCAGGTTGCCAGGTGGGGGTGTGTAAGAGGCAACAGCTTGATGTTTCTCTCAGATATTGGGGTTTATCTCCTTTTCTTTCTCCCTCCCTCCCCCTCTCTCTAAAAATAAATAAATAAAATCTGAGAAAGAAAGAAAACCCTAAAGATTCCACAAAAATTTATTAGAGCTAACAAAATTCAGCAACGTACCAGGATGCAAAGTCAACACACAGAACACAGTTGCATTTCTGTATGCTTAAAATGAACAATCTCGAAAGGAAATTATGAGAATTATAAAAGGTTCTAAAATAATAAAATACTTAGGGAATTAAACAAGGAAGTGAAAGACATACAATAAAAAGCTACAAAACATTACTGTGAGAAATTAAGGCATAAATGAATATGAAAATTTTCATATTCATATTTCATATGAATATGAAATAAAACATTTCATATTCATAGACTGAAGGACAATATTGTTGAGATATCAATATTACCCAAAGCAATGTACAGATGCAATGCAACTGCTATTAAAAAATCTCAATATTTTTTGCCCCCCCAAAAAATCCACCAAAAAATTTACATGGAATTTCAAAGGACCCCAATTAGCCAAAACGATCTTTAGAAAGAAGATCAAAGTTGGATCCCAGGTTCCCACAGGCAGCTGTTGGGGTGAGCACAGTCTGGGGACCTACGGCAGCATGAAGCAAAAAAGCACCAGTGGTATGGAAGCTAACGGAGCCCTCCCAGCCTTCTCCATGATGTCCAAGGCTAAAGAGGCCAAAAAGCTGGAAATCAGAGAAGAGGTGGATATTTGCATGAAGAGTAAGCAAGTGCTGAGAATTGAAAGTGGTTCTCAAATTGTCCATGCTGTTCAGAAAGAGTGAAATAATAGAATGTGACCTCGGTAATCCCACTTCCTTCAAGGCCTCTCACCTCATCCTTCAGTATAGCTTAACTTTCAGTGACCTGGACCAACACCCAGAGACTGACCTCACCATCTATGGCGATGATAAAGTAGATGTTAATCTCAATCTCATCATGAGCACTGGAGGCTACCTGACCCAGGATAAGACTGTAGTGGGATATGCCAATCACTTGATCTTGATCGTCAGTTTTAGGAGAAGATTCAAAAAACCCTAGGGATCAGTGGCACAAAAGAATCCCCGTGAAGGTTATCCCAGTGAGCTATGTCCCAGGGAGTTGAGCTGTGACTCAGAAGTTTGGTGGTAAGGTTAAACTTTGAAAGGATGTCACCAAGGCAGGTCCCATGATGACAGATAATGGTAATTTTATCCTGGACTGGAAGTTTGAGTGGGTGCACAAATGAAGTGAAGCAAACAACATAGCTATCAAAACGATCTCAGATGTGGTGAACACGTCTGAGAGAGTCTACTTCAGGATACGGAATGGCTCAGTGAATATGAGGGAGAAACCTTTCTACTGATCTTGAAGGAGTGAAGTGTGTTCATCTTGAGTCTCTAGCCCACAGCCAAGGTGGACATGCCTCTCCAAGAGCCTTTGCTTTAATGCACCTGTGCCAGCTGGCATGGTGGGGGTTGGGGAGTTAAATCCAGTCTTGTGTTGTTATTAAATGTCTTCTTTTATAAAGAAAAATATAAACATATATATTTTTACCATTAAAAAAAGAACAGGACTTCCAGCCAAGATAGACAAGCATAGGTAGACACACTGTGCCTCCTTGCACAACCAGAACAAGGACAACAACAAATTAAAAAACAAAAAACAACCAGGACTGACAGAAAATCGAACTGTTTGGAAATCTGACAACCAAGCAGTTAAACAAGAAACATTCATCCAGACCGGTAGGAGGGGTGGAGATGGGCAGCCGGGCAGAGAGGACTCAAGGCAAGGCAGCAGCTGGCAGACCGGGGGAGGCAGTAGCTTGTAGACTGGGCAGTCCCACATTCACATGCAGATAAAAACCGGGAGGAACAACATGGGAGAGAGACAAACTTTCCTATTTCCCAGCACAGGAAAATAAAGCCTCAAGCCTCTGACTGAAAACACCTGTGGGGGTTGAGGCAGCAATGGGAGAAACTCTCAGCCTCACAGGAGAGTTCATTAGAGAGACCCACAGAGTCCTAGAATGTACACAAATCCACCGACTGAGAATCAGCACCAGAAGGGCTCAATTTGGTTGTGGGTAGCCAGGGAAGTGACTGAAAACTAGCAGAGAGCAGACCAAGTGGCACTGTTCCCTCTTGGACCCCTCCCCCACATACAGTATCACAATGCAATGAAGTAGGTTGCCCCACCCTGATGAACACTTAAGGCTCCGCTCCTTACTACATAACAGACCAAAAAAAAAAAAAAAGACCAGACTACAAAAAAATGACCTAAATGAAAAACCAGTTCAAAGCTCCAGAAAAAATACAACTAAGTGACAAAGAGCCCACTATCAGATACACAGTTCAAAACACTGGTAATCAGGATGCTCCAGGAACTCACTGGGTACTTCAATACCATAAAAAAGACCCAGGCAGCAATGAAGGTCATATTATGTGGAATAAAGAAAAATCTACAGGGAACCAACAGTGACAGGAAGAAAACCAGGACTCAAATCAATGGTTTGGAGCATAAAAAAGAAAAACATTCAATCAGAACAGA